AAAGAAAAAAAAAGAAAAAAGAAAAAAGGAAAAAGAAAAGAAAGAAAAAGTGGAAATAAACGCGAGACCATAACGCGATAATAATAATAAAAAAAAAAAAAAAAAAAGAAAAAACGAAAAAAAAGAGAAAAAAAGAAAAAAGAAAGAGAAGAAAAAAAAAGAGACAAAACAAAGTATCATATTTCGATGACCTAAAATACAAATGCCCATACATCCGTGAGACGAAAATAAGTAGTTTGTTGATCGTACAGAAAACGAGTTCACTTTCTCTTATAAATGACTGAGCAAGAGAGGAGGAGGAGGAGGAGGAGGAGGAGAGTGCGGGCGTGGTATCAATGAGAAAAAAATAAAAAAGAGACAGAGAGAGAAAAAAAACGAATTAAAAAAAACCCCTCGGTCTTCTCGTCTCTTCCCGCACCCTTCCCCACGTGTCTCCACCACTCACGGCGCCTTTGCTCCATTTCGACAATTAAAATTCATTGATAATAACACTCTCTAGCGGCGCTAAAATTCCACGATTCTGAATTAGTTTCTAAACCAACAAAAAAAAAAAAAAAAAAAAAAAAAAAAAAAAAAAAAAAAAAAAAAAAAAAGAAAAGAGGTATTATCGTAAAAAAGAAAAAAGAAAAAAAAAAGAAGAAAAAGGAGAGAAAAATTCTACGTCTTTGATTGACCTTGAGAGTATTCCGCAATCTACAAGAGAAAAAGAAAAAGAAAAAGAAAAAAAAAAACAAAAAAAAAATAAATCCAACGAACAATATAAATCAGATGATTGGTCGATTATTAATCAAACAATGTAACATGCACGGATATTAATCTGAACAATAATCTTTCGTTTTACTTATATACGTACTTTTATGTACATGCGTGCCACCTTGCGTGCATACCGTGTGCACGTGTGCATGCGTGCATGCGTGCACGTGTACATGCATATCCGTGCACGTGTATATACGTACATATATATATATATATATGTGTGTGTGTGTGTGTGTGTGTATCTGAACGCAGTACAATGAAAATTATATGATGGTGGGATAATAAAATGGAGGAAAAGGGGAGAAAAGGGGAGGAAAGAGATACAGGATACACACATACGTACACACATAGAACAAACGTACGATTTGACCTAAGCGATATCGTTGGGTTAGACGTCACAATTACACAGTATCAAAGGTTATTCAAGGCTGGTGAATGTTAAATTGACCTGAGATTTATGCGGAATAAGGTTAATGCTAAACCGTAAAACGTCCATTACGTTATTGCAATACACAACCAATACTAATAATAATAATAATAATAATAATAATAAGAATAAGAATAAGAATAAAAATAAAAATAATAATGATTATGATTATGATAATAAAAACAATTAATTATTACATTTACTTACCTCGGTGCTCGTTCTTGGTGTACTCTTAGCGACAGATATTTTGAGATTAGAATTTTTCTGCAAAAAATCATCATCGATCGATTAAAAAAAAAAAAAAAAAATAAAGAGAGCGAGGGGGATGAGAGCAGGGGGCAGAGAGAGAGAGAGAGAGAGAGAAAGAGAAAGAAAGAAAGAGTAATTTTGCAAACTTACCAATTGTGATAATCTCGCTTTAAAATCAGGAGGATAATTATCGCTCTCCTCCGAATCAGAAAGTTTATCGTTATTTATATTCTTGTCAGATTGATTCTTGTTACCCCTTCTTGTAGAATTGAAATTTTTCGTCGTACCAGGCGACATCGTCGTAGAAGTCGCTGTTGTATCTTCGATCTTTGATTTCTTCGATCCACGATTTCTCGTAGTCGATACGATCGTCGTTGTCGGCATTGTTGTTGTCGTTGTCGCTGCTGTTGCTGCTGCTGTTGTTGTTGCTGCTGCTGTTGTTGTTGTTGTTGTTGTTGTTGTTATTGTTGTTGTTGCTGTTGTTGACTCATTGTTCGTCGTACGATCGTCATTGTTCGTTGCTATTTCATTGATAACCGATTCCTTCTCGGTTGTAGAAATCGATGATTGATATTCCGGTTTTCTTCGTAGAAGTGTCCAACCAGGATTACCAACGCCACGGACCCCCGTTTGTTGACTCGTCGATTGGGATAATCTTGATGATTTAATCGACGTATTCTTCGTCGTTGTCTCTTCGTTCGTGGGAAATTTTCTACCGCGAAAACCTAATCCATAATTAAAGTAATCCTCCCTCGTGGTATTTCTCGATTGAGAACCATTTCTATTTCTTGATCTAACGCGAGACGACGACGATGATGATAGATCATCGGTAATCGTACGTGCTGATTCTCTTTGTCCAACGACGGACGTTCTCATCGTTGTAATCGATGTATCAGAAATTGGTACGTTCGTCGATTGATCCGACGTCGATGTAGTCGTTTCGATCGATGGATCTGTAAAAAGAAAAGGAAAAAGAAGAGAAGAAGAAGAAGAAAGAAAGAAAGAAAGAAGAAAAGAAAGAACAATTTTTTCTTTTGTCCTTTCCCCCATGCCAATCCTCCTCTCCCCATTAATCGAACATCGATAATCATGTACGTAACATTTAGAACGTGAGATTAGATCAATAATTATAATCGATGAATCTATAATAATAATAATAATAATAATAATAATAATAATAATAATAATAATAATAATAATAATAATAATAATAATAATAATAATAATAATAATAATAATAATAATAATAATAATAATAATAATAATAATAATAATAATAGTAATAATAATAAGGAAAGAAAAAAGAAAGAAAAAAAACCTCCACCACAACTCTCTCATTAATCGAGCATCGATAATCCTGTACATAACATTTAGAACGCGAGATTAGATCAATAACGATAATCGATGGATCTATAATAATAATAGTAATAATAATAAGGAAAGAAAAAAAGAAAGAACAATTTTTTCTTTTGTTCTTTTCCCCCGCCCCAATCCCCTCATTAATCTAGCATCGATAATCATGTACATAACATTTAGAACGCGAGATTAGATCAATAACGATAATCGATGGATCTATAATAATAATAATAATAATAATAATAATAATAATAATAATAATAATAATAATAATAATAATAATAATAATAATAATAATAATAATAATAATAATAATAATAATAATAATAATAATAATAATAATAATAATAATAATAATAATAATAATAATAATAATAATAATAATAATAATAATAATAAGGAAAAAAAAAAAGAAAGAACAATTTTTTCTTTTTTTTTTGTTTTGTTTTTCTCTAATCAAAAATCGATAATTACGTACGTAATGAAGCATTCAAAACACGAGACTAGATTAATATCGATAATGGATGGATCTATGGGAAAAAAAAAAGAAAAAAAAAAAAAAGAAAAAAAAACAGGAAGAAAAAGGAAAGAAAAAAGAAAGAAAAAAAGGAAGAACAATTTTTTCTTTTCTCTCTCTCTCTCTCTCTCTCTCTCTCTCTCTCTCTCTCTCTCTCTCTCTCTCTCTCTCTAATCAAACGTGAATAATTTCATACGTAAAATTTAAAACGCCCGATTCAATATCGATAATTAAAATATTCTTACCAATAAATAATTTCGTCGTAGTAGATTCAGTTCTGATCCTTCCTCTTGAACGTCCACGATTATCCTGATCCTGTAAATTATCCAACGATCTAGATCGAATCTCCGTTTTCCTATTGTTATTCCTATCGGGCGATGATCTACGCTTTATATCGGTTTGAAATGATGACGATGATCCATTTGGTACAGATCTCGATACTATATCCAATGTTCTACCTCTCGTTCTTGAATTGATCGATTCATTATTATTATCGTCCTTCGTAATAAATTTTCTATCGTTATTTCTCGTACGATCCGTACTTCTTCTTCTTACGTCGTTTCCATTATCATCCTTATTGTACGTACGAATCGTCGTAAAATCAATGGTATCGTTTAAAACAAAATCGGCAAATTTCGAGGATCCCCTTTTTTGATTGATCGTAATAGATCGTTGAGTCGTCGAATGATGATCGACAACATTCGTCTTCGATTTTCTTCGAGCTTTCGTTCTATCCAAATTTTTCGATTCGTTCAAATTCGATCTAACGTATTCACGATCGTCGTTACGCCTTTCAATTTTTCTTGATGACGATGATGATCTAAATGATTGATCATTATCATTATCATTAATATTGATGGTCGTCAATTTAGGATAATCCGTAGTGACCAATGTCAATGGTATATCGACTCTAATACTTTCAGATTCAGTTAATTGCGTAGATTTATCCGTAGTCCTTCTTCTCGATAGATCCGTATCCTTTCTAGATCCTCTCGTTGAACCATTGTTCCTTCTCGTATTATTCGCCGTAATATCTGAATTGTATCTACGATTGTTGTTGCCCGACGATATTCTCTTTGACGAATTTTTGTCGTTATAAGTCGTATTTATTTTTCTACCAGTTCTTGACCTTGAATTTTCTGTCGTACCAGAAAATACCGAAGGTCCAGTATTAACCTCCAAATATCGTGATTTAACCTTCCTAACTGATCCAACTCTCGACGAGGCTCTTCTCGGCGTATTAACGTTCTCTTTTCTTGACCTTGACCTTATTGTTGTTATTGTTATTGAAGGCTCTGTTGTTATTACAGATATCTCCTGATTATCTATTTTACGTCCATTCTTTTTATCATCTCTTTCCGGCAAATATCTTCTATCGTTTCTTCTCGTTTGTTGTTTCGATTCGGACAAATTCGTTGTTTTGTCGGGATTGATCGTTCTATCGTTTATCGTCGATCTTTCACGATCTCTCGATCCGAAAGATTCCTTAACGACATTGACATTTCTCGAATATGTTACTCTATCGTCCTTGTTTTTAATCGACGATCTTCGAATTTCCGTATTTCTATCACGATCCACACGTGAACGCGCTAACGACGGTCCAATCGTAGTCTCGTAATTATCCAATGATTTTTTAATATCGAATCTTGCGGTACCTCGGTTAACCGACGTTTGCGATCTCTGCTTCTCGTCGACCTGGAAAGACAAGATTTATTTTTCTTTCTATTTTTTATTTATTTATTTATTTTTTTTTTCTTTTATTTTCTTCTCTCTTCTTTTATTTTATTTATTTTCTTCTTTTTTTTTTCATTCGTTTCTTTTGTTTTTTTTTTTTTTTTTTTTTTTGAAGAACATTTTTAATCAATATATTAATTATCCTTATTACATTGTACACCTTCGAATTTGTATAATTGAATTTTACGTTCATTAGTTTCCATATAAATGAGAATAATATCAATTGAAATTCGTATTATTTTTATTTATTTGTATTTAACGAACGTTAATCTTTGAATATTGCATAAACAATTAATTTTATAACAAATGAAAAATTAAAATAATATAAATATTGTAAGTATATTAATTTCTAAATTAATTAATATTATATAAAACTTTTTCGTTAATTTTTAATCTTTCTAAATGTTCAAATTGTTAAAGCAAATTAAAATTAATTCAATACAATAATAATTAACGATTTCAAAAATATAAGAATTAAAATTTAATGATATTAATTTAATATCGATCAAGGATTGGAAAAGAAATAAATAGAATATAATTATATATATATATATTTATTTATTTATTTATTTATTTATTTATTTTAAATCAAAGAAAAAATCATCATTAAAAACAATTAGAAATTACGATAAATCTATCGTATGATTTCGAAAGGATTAAATTAAACGTTTGAGTTGAGTAAAAATTAAATTAAATATATATATATATATTTATTTATTTATTTATTTATTTATTTATTTATTTATTTATTTATTTATTTATTTATTTATTTATTTATTTATTTATTTATTTATTTATTTATTATGTCCTTCTTTGTCATTCCACATATCGTTTAATTTTTAATCAAAAGACAAGCTAAATTTAATCGATCAAATTGTAAGATTTACGTGAATGATCAAGGTAAACTACTTGTTATATATGTATATATATATGTATATGTTATATATATATGTATATGTTATATATATATATATACCAATGTGTATATAAACACGTTTCTCAAAACAAAAAATTATTCAATAAAAATCTTGTATAAAAACGACAAAACGATAAAAATGTCAACGTAATCGTACAATTAAAATACGTATAAAGTGATCAAATATTTCCAAAACGATTGTTAACTATCGATCACCATATTTCGAAACATTTTTCAAATCTAATTTCTATCAACGATTCTAAACCTACAAGTTCAATTGAAAATCTTTAAAGATTACGAGGAGAAAAAGAAAACAAGGAAAAAAAAAAAAAAAAAGAAAAAAAAAAGAAAGAAAGAAAGTAAAATGAATTGATATTTCAAAAATTCTATAGAAAACTTTGACCCCCGTCCATTATATGCGTCCTTATTTAATAATACGAAGAAATCATTAAAGAAATTAGGATGAAAAACGTTCAAAGATATGTTTTATAGGTGCCATTTGTGAATTAAAAAAAAAAAAAAAAAAAAAAAAAAAAAAAAAGAGAAAAAGAAGAGAAAAAAAAAATTTCAAAGGGACCTATCGTGGACTCATAGATCCGTGGATCCATCGGAACGAGAGTCGGTCATAAAATTTGATGATCGATTTCGTTGTTTACATAACGAATTACAACGATTAATTCGATATCGTAGTTGCAAAAGGTATTAATTAGACAAAGAGTTTAACTGGTTAACTTTCTCTTCCTTTAATTATCCTTTGATAAATTAGAATTAAATTAATGACCATAGCATCGCGATCGTCGGATGAGTAAAAGAAAAAGAAAAAGAAAAAAAAAAAAAAAAAAAAAAAAGAAAAAATGGGGAAAGAAAAAAAACAAAAAAAGGAAAAAAAAAAAGTATATGGATCATGTAATATCCTTAAAGAGGCTCTCCGTATCATTTGTAATCGGACGATCTATGAAAACACAAGTTTCTAATCATAAAGAAATTAGAAAGAGGAAGCGTATTAAACTTAGTTTCCTTTTCTTTTTCTTTTTTTTTTTTCCTTCTTCTTCTTCTTTTCTTTTTGCAAGTTCAAATCAGAAGTTTACTTGAGGGAAAATAATAGAGAGAGAGAGAGAGAGAGAAAAAAAAAAAAGAAAAAAGAAACTAAAAGGGAAATTCTAATTCGTACTATTCATTTCAATGTTCACGTATCACGAAATATTTCAATATAAATCATTTTCATTGTAAAAACACGTTTGTACTATTGTTATTTGTTTTTTCTCCTCTCTTTCTATCTTTCATTTCTTTTATAAGTGAAATTTCAAAATGGAAATCAATTCATAAAAAAAAAAAAAAAAGAGGAAAAAAAGAAAAAATAAATTTTGTTATATAAATCATAAATCATATCGTTTTTAATAAACGACGATCCTTCTTGCGATCGTTTCTTTCCCTCCTCCTCCTCCTCCTCCTCCTCCTCCTCCTCCTCCTCCTCCTCCCCCCTCCTTTCGATAATCAATTCAAATCGTTTGGTCGATTTGCAGTATTAATTATATGCAAAAATATGCAATAGAAAATTGTTGCGGTAATCAGTAAAGTATCGCGATTAGAATAAATGAATAAAACAAAGAGTGGGCGAGAGATTGATTCAAAACGAACGAATCCATATATGATATTTTTCGATTTCTAGATCGGGGATTCATACGATTGGAATTCAACATTGTGCATTCTTATTAATAAATAAGAAAAAGAATGAAAAAAAAAAAAAAAAAAAAAAAAAAAAGAAAAAAGAAAAAAGAAACTTAATTTAATCTTAAAACATTTAAATGACGTACGAAGAAACAATTTCTTATTTGGCGACGTCATTTTTGAAGTAAAGAATAGGAAAAAAAAAAGAAAAAAGAAATTGCGAAAAGTACGAGAAAAAGTAAAAAGTAGTATAAGACCAAAAAAAGAAAAAGAGGCCGTAGCCAAAGGGGCAAAAAAAAGTGCGAAAGAGATAAAAAAAAAAAAAAAGGGATTAAAAAGGACGAAAAAGGATAAAAAAGAAAAAAGAAAAAAAAAGAAATAGACAAAAAAGTAGAAAAAGTACAAAAGTATGGGAGAAAAAAAAAAATTACGAAAGAGGAAGAAAAGTGCGAAAAGTAGGGGAAAGAAAAAAGACGTAGAAAAGTATAAGAGAAATACGAAAAAGGATAAGAAAAAAGAAAAAATGGACAAAAAAAGTACGAAAAGTACAAAAAAAAAGAAGAAAAAAAAAAAAAAAAAAGAATACAAAGACGGACTAAAAAAAAGATTAGAAAGGACAAAAAAAAGGACTGAAAGGTATAAGAATAGATGAAAAAAGTATTTAAAAAAAAAAAAAAAAACAAAAAAACAAAAAGTACAATCAAAAGTATAAAAAAGAAATTACAAGAAAAGATTGTGAAAGATGAAAAAAAAAAGAAAAAAAAAAAACAAATTAGAACAAGAGACAATGTCTGTGATTTTTCCTAAGGTTTTGTTCAAGGTTCTATCTTACAAATCCGTATATGTATATATATATATATATATATATATATATATATATATATACCTGTTGAATGAAACACCTTACCCTTTTTTTTTCATCAGCTGACTTAAGTTAGATTAGAAGTGTGAAAGGTGATGGCGTACGGATTAATCGGTAGCAAGAGCAAGCAGGTCGATTACTAACTTGTCGAAAGCTTGCGAAATTGATCGTAAGGATGGCAATTACCAGATAAGCCACTTTGAAACGGTAAATAGCAATGGATTTACGCAAATGGAATTAACTATAACTGACAAATTGTTCCAACACTTATCTTCAAGCTTGTTTAATCATCGAAGAAAAGAGAATCGTGAAAGATGGATAGATATAAAACGATTGAATAGAAATGAAAGATAAAAAGAGAGAGAGAGAGAGAGAGAGAGAGAGAGAGAGAGAGAGAGAGAGAGAGAGAGAGAGAGAGAGAGAGAGAGAGAGAGAGAGAGATAAAAAGATCGAATTCATCAGAAACATTTTTTCTTTCGATTAATTTCTCAGAGAAAAAAAAAGAGAGAGAGAGAGAGAGAGAGAGAAAGAAAAATGAAATCATAATCGATTTATAGATTCGTGCTCGATGAACCAATGAAATTAATTTCGTTCGATCAATTTCAATGATCTCCGACGAGATAATTATTTCGATCGAATAGATCGATGTGCATAGCCGGCAAGTAGTTACGATCGATCTTTGCTCAGACGATCGGATCATCCTAATGTTTCTATTCAACTTGATTAATTTCTAATACATGATCAAAGGCAATATCGATTTAGACGTTAGAAATGTTGTTCTCTTTTTTTTCTCTTTTCTTTTTTCTTTTTCTTGTTTCCATTTTTTTCTTTTTTTTTTTTTTCTTTTTTTTTTTTTTTTTATGTCGAAACACATTCTTCGAATTTTATAAAGATATTTTGTAATGACGAAATTTTTTTTAAATATTTATATATATATATATATATATATATATATATATATGTACGAAGTTTCATCTTAAAATACTTTCTCTTTTTTCATTCTAACGTTCTAACTAACGAAACATTTCACGAAAGATATTTTATTCTAATGATTATTAAAAGGTAAAATAAAATGAAATAAAATAAAATAAAATAAAAAAGAAAAAGAAGGTAACAATTCGTCTCAAGTATCACAAATCGAAAATATTTCGTATGGAAAAATTGAAAGAGAAAAAGAAAAAGAGAGAAAAAAAAAAAAGAAAAAAAAAAAAAAAAGAGAAAAGAAAAAGAAAACAAAGAAATTTTTTGCATTTCTAATCAACGAAACATTACATTCTAACATATCTCGCATTAAATCATATAATATCCAATATTCACATAACACCTCATAATAATTCATAATGTTATTACGATATATATATATATATATATATATACAAAAATATAGATATATATAGATATGAATAAACATTTCTAATTATATAGCATGTATTTCTAGTTGAAAAAAGAAAATGAAGAGAGAGAGAGAGAGAGAAAAAAAAAATAAGTCACTTCCTGCAATCAAGAAGTAAAAAA